GATTTATCATGAACTCTTTTTCACGATCATCACCAACACAATCACGTCAGACATATGCTGGATATATTATTAATGATATAAAAGAAACCTGTAGGCACATGAGTAGCGAAATGCGAGTATCTTTTGTTTCTTTTCTAATAAACATTTGTATCGGTATATATTTTCATGACATCAGTTACTGACTTCATTTATTGTACAGTAATTATTACATTAAGTAGCCAAGCTGGGTTTATATATGAGATGGTTCAAATTTCACCTAGTCAAATACCTAAGTTAATGATAAGTTTATTTGTTAAATTACAACCATATAGTATTTTGTTTCTAAAGTATCAAGTTAGCATGTAGGTTATCACTACAGTTCAGTTGAGCCTGCTTGCGGTAACCGATTCTAACCATGCGACCAGACCAAGATCAGCAGAGTCCTTGCCTTCTGATTAAAGTCTGCTCTGCTCTCTTTTCAGTCAGTTCACGTAACTTTTTAAAAGTGAGTGATTGTTTGAGAGCAGTGAAAGACAAGAGTTGGTGAAATATGTCCATGTAAGACATGGAAAGTACACCTTTATGTAAATTTCTAATCACTCAATATCCAGTGTCGTTTAAGAATATTAAAAGCGGAGATCTCTAGAGAGGCGAGTTTATTTTTATATTGTTTATTTATTTAAAGTTTGCTTATTAAATGTTTGCATATGATTTTTGTTTGTATTAACAATATCGCAATGAAATAGACAAGTTGGCATCTTATAACGTTTAGTGTTTCAAGTTGGGTGGTACATTTTCTGTAGACACATATTTTAGATGATTTTAAAATTCCGATGAATATATCATCTTAAACGTCTGACAGGCGAACATTCATCATTTGCCGTGTATGTTTTAAATAAATAACTATGAATATATTCTTGCAAATGGTATGTATATCACTTGAACATGTCAATTGCAATAAGCGCAAAACTAGTGATAAACTTTCGAGATTGTATATGTCTAAACATAAGAAATAAATACACATTATGTTATATTGTCTGTGCGGCCTCAATCTATCATCTGATACGATCTGAAATGATAAATTAATGAAGTGTATTTATTTGTTTATATCAACGGTCGAATCTACATAATTATACATATAGGAAGCTTTATAGTTTGCCTTATGCGATTCAAAATGTCCTCTGGAGAAAAAAGTAGTTGGCCAGCATCGTCCCAATCCATTGCAATGCAGAAAAAAAACACAAAATTAAGATGAAATTTTTAACTAAAAAAAATGAAATAGATTGTCACCCGAATACAATTCTTATTCAATACACCAACATACCATTAACCCTTGAATGTTCCAATCCTTGGTAACTGTTAATGCCCCTCCCCCATCCTCTAAAACAAACATACATACAAGCCAGCAAACGGAAAAAAACCCACAAAAAAACAAACAAATAAACAAATAAATCTGTCAACTCATTTTTCATTGCTTACAAGGGGATCTCCGCTTTTTAGAAATACAATACTGCTGACGAAGTATTGTTATGTATTGTGTGTAAGTTTGCATACTGCTTAACTACGCTTGTTTCACGCCTCCTATAGAGACATACAGCCAGAAAGAAAATTATTCCATTGAAGTGATCTACAATTTACATAGTTTTAGAATATAATTCCAGAAATATTCTAAGCGAAACAAAATAATGTTGTATACGTTTCTCGTTTTGAGTTATCTGCACTTGAATTTTATTTTTGTTTTGATTATTATAGGTTTATATGAAAACTGTAGCAATTGTCCTTCAGGCGGTGCAAGGGAGTGAGAAGAGACGCAATTCTTATTGTCTCTCTTGAAGAGACTTTATCAAACTAAATCTGTAATTCTCTACTTTTCATTTCTATCTCCACTCCAAAAGACGCCATTGTATCAAACGAAACTACAATATCAGATGATATATCTTTGTTCAATTGCTCACAAATCTTTTATAATTTATATAATTTGGCAATGTTGCCGTTTACGTGCGTCGATGATAATGATTTGTTGGAGATATATCCGAATACCTAATTTTATATCCGAAATACTACAATGTTTCATTTTTGATTAATGATAAATTGTAGAATAATAATATTTCATTTTCTGAATATATTGCAGGAAACATGAATTAATGATAAAATATTATCTTGTCTTATGTCAAATAAACTTATAACTGTATCATTAAACTCATCCAAGTGTAAATCATTAGTAAACGGGTGGAAATCAAAATAACTTCTTTTTTTATTTTTGCTATGAAAAAAAATCAATAATCTACGTGACCAACGGAATTTTCTTTTAATATTGTATCTATCGGTAAAAGAGTGAGTTAGTTTTTTTAATTATTTTATTGCAAATGACCTTTACGCTTCATCACAATCGGGCTAAAATAAATTTATTTTAACTAAAAGCAATATTTTATTTTAAGTCTGAAGAAATTCTATTTAAATGAACGTTATTTTTATTTTAAATAGTGCTTGTCAGAAACATATTTGTGTGAAAATATACATAATAATGTATTTGTGACTCGATAGATGTTAATTCTATCTGGGAATGATGATGAAACACATAATTACCTAGATTCTATGCACAGACTTTAGCTTTTTTATTTCGAGTCTGCTATCTTAATATATCAACAATAACCAAAAAATCAACAACAACAAAGAACAATTAAATCAGAAGGCCGTATTGAAAATAAATATACATATTCTATATCTATGTAAATTTTTTGTATGTTACCTTCGCTAAATAAAGATTTAAAGATTTTATTAAGATTATTATTATAAAACAACAACAACAACAACATATGAACAAAACAAATAAACAACAACAATAAAACAAACGAAACATAAATCAATCCTTCATTTGTTAATAACTGAAGCTAAGAGATCATACTAGATCTGCGGCAGACGATTTTAAAATATTGCTTTACCAAGGGCGTTCTCTTGCATCCAAAACCTGACTCATTTCTAATTTTGTTTCATTTACTGTATTTCCGCTGTAAACAGTTCTGAAATTAAAAATGTAGTATTCACCTAACCTACTTATCATGTTGTTGTTTCAACTGAGTGGTTACGGTTGTTGACTTCAAATGACTTGCCCCTCACCGCTGTGGGTTCAAATCCCGTCAGGGACTGTGAATTCTTTCATATGAGGAAGTTATCCAGCTAGTTCACGAAAAGTAAATGGTTCTATTCAGGTGCCTGAAATAATGCACGGAGGGGCACCCGAGGTCACCTCTACTGTGTAACTGCGACCAACCAAATAATTTCAACTGAGCATGGAGCCATTATGATAAAAGTGATATCTTTTTAAATTTCTTCTTCACGCTCAGGAAAAAATCTTTTTTGTTGTTTAAAAAATATTTTGTGTACATGTATATAGTAATTTTAATTTTATACCGGTCATTCCAATGTTTTCAATTTTTGTTTCGGTATATATTTCAAGCATAACTAAAAATGGTATAAATTGTTTCAATGATTTACATACATGTTGACATCATTTTTGTAGCTATTCTTTGAGGCATCTAATCCTCAATTTATATTTTGAGTTTATATCAACAACTACATAAAAATCGTATTCATAAATATTCACAAGCAAATATAAAGTGAGGAAACAAACAAAACTGTATTTTGTTGTTGTTTAGCATGACTTCTTTTAAGCTTATGGATATAAGTTGTTTACAATAGAAAAAGTTTTAAAAAGGTAATCACAATAACATTTGCTTTAATTGCTGGTTGTTGTTTGTTCAACTTAAAAGACATGAAACTCACCTATAACTTAATCAGCTAGTATAATAGTATGTCATTGTATTGTATTGTTAAAAGTTGCTTGAAGTTAAAGATAAGAAAAAACACTAAAAATAACTATTTTGTGCGTTTTTACGTCATAATTTATAGATTTAAAATCTTCCTTACCAATGCACTATAATTGCCTTTATTTTCTAAATGTCTGCTCTGGTGTTTGTTTGTTTGTTTGTTTTGAAGTGATAAAGGAAAACCCCTTATTTTTCATTTTTACGATAAAGTAAATATAATTACCGTCACATTAGTCACATTTTAAGTGTTTTAATATTGCTCACTTAACAATTACTTTTAACTTAAAACTACCTTCAAATTTAACAATAACTGTAGACTTCACTGACTTACATAACTTTTTAAGGAATTCATAATAACAAAATTATTTTTCAATATTTGTCATTCAAAACTGAATAGCATCAATATAAACAAACGAAATTACCAAAAAAATGGCTCATTTCTGTCTGTACATTTAAGTCGCGTCAACGTAAAAAAAGAATTAAAGATTTTTTAGGTAAATTAGCACTTTGAAAACCTGTGACATGCATTTCCTGTAGAACCTTTGTTTTATATGTATCTGTATATTACTACAAACTACGACTTGAATTCTTTAAATAATTAAGCTTTATGTCTTTTTAGATTGCATTAAAGTTACTGTATGTTTTGATCAAAATGGTAAACCGTATGTATGTAGTTAATGCTTAATGAGAGTCCATCCGCCCTTTCGGGCACAAAATGCAGCTTACGGACCCCGGACGTGTAACCAGTCATGCCCTTGAAGAGTTAATTTTGAAGCACAAAGTGGTGATAATTTACCTCCATGCAATTTCCACGGAGTATTAGCCAAAGATATGAATTTTGAGCCCAAAGTAGGTCACTGTACGGCGGTCAATGAGAACCTAAATGTACAGTAACCTGTGACAATATGAAAGGGCAGCCCTGAAAAGGGCTGTTGGTGCCAGCAAAAGGCCTGCCTTACAAGCCGTCTATCTGTGAGGGTAAAAAGTGGTAAACCACACTAACTGAAATTATATATATGTACATAATTATGCAAAATAAAACAATTTTCAAACATTAAAGAATATGTAAAATATGTACTGCAAATATTTGTGCATATTATATGTAATTATTTAAATATATGCATCCATTTCTTATTGAAAAATATGACTTAGACTTTATAGAAAATATTTTTTTATTACCTCCCTTTATTTACATGAAATGATAAATACGGTAATATCTTTATAAATAATGCTTTTTGGAACTTACAATATTGATAAATCTTAATGTGAGCATCATATTTATGATTTAAAACCATAAAAATGTGTTACAGGATCTTTAAATAATTCAGTAGATATACTTTCAATTACAATACACACATACATGTAAAATTCTACAGAGAATTATAGTCAGTATCTCTACTGTGTTTACCGGTTTAGAGCACGGCAGGAAGTCTATATTGTAATTATTTCATTGGCTACTTAAAGTTGGTATCATGGAAATCTATAAATAAACAACCATCATCAGGAAACGCCGTGTATTCAAAATTCTTTGCTTTGCACATAAAACAGTCATAATGTTGTCTACTTCATTTACATTTTTTAAACAAGTTTTTAAACTACTTCACTTTCATTGTCATTTTTATAGAACAAATGTCCTTAGTTACTCAACTATTAAATCCCTATTTTAATACATTAAAAATAAATTTAATGAGTATATTTTTGTCATTTTGAAACATTAAATATATATTTTTTGTCAAAAACCAGAAGAAAATAACAGCCAACTGTTTTTTTTGTGTGTGGAAAATACCAAAACGACCATTGTATGAACAAAAATATTCTTCTTCTTTGAGACGAACTCATTGTGTGTAATTGTCATTTTGAACCTATTAACTTGGTATAAGAAGAAGGTTTACTACATGACAAGTTCATTTATATCATGGACAAAAAGTTTTTTCTCCTTAAAAACAAAAATAGAATATATAATGGTGATGAAACGTCACTGCAGACGGCGTTACCGTGTACGAATGGAAATTTCGGGATAGGAAGTGCACTATTGGAGACTACATCCCAACTAAAAAGCAAACTTTAAATAAACGTTCGTAATGGGTTAGTGACAAGAGGTTATTATCTGAGTATCTGAATCTCGAACTTTCATTTTACTCGAATGCATATCACTAATTAAGGTTTGCAAAAAGGGTATAGAAAATTGTCTTTGTAATCCGTTCTCTAGTTAGAGCTACGGGAGCCAAAACAAGGTACTCTCCCTATGACCCTTTAATCATACACATATTTCTATTTCAATCAAATATTTACTTATTCAACGGAAACATGATGAAATTACTTTACAAGCAATGTCATCCTGGACCTCAAATTGTATGCAATACTAATACATATTGTCTTTCCAATCGGTTTGTACGAAGAAAAATAAAGATATAAATATGTTTTCCGATTCTGTGATAATTATACAAGCGAAAAACGAAAGACATAAAAATGAAACAAAAGAAACAAAACTTTATGACAATGCATCTTAAGCTGGAAAAGTCTCCCCCCCCCCCCGACTCAGCCCTTTACATGTACCTGTATATACATGTCACATTATTTATGAATATTATAATACCACCGTCGTTTTAGTAAGGAATTAAGTAAATAATTGCAACTGGAATCAATGATATAAAAGAATATAAAATAGAATGCCATATTTTTGCTTTCTGTTCATATAAACAATCTGCACCAGGACAGACTGTTTGTAAATATATAAAAGACAAACTCCAGATAAAAGCAAGCAAATATATTTAACCTTGACCTTAATTCTCCTTACCCTTGTTGAAACTTTTGGTAAAATTAAGGCTATAATGTCTGATTAAAAAAAAACGTGAATCTGTTAAACTTTCAAAGAAATAAAGTAATATAAATTTCTACACCGATGTGACTGAGATATTTTTCATTCTACTCTATTTGGTAAACTCGTTTTTGAATCACAGGAAGAGATATATTTCAAATTAATTTACAACATTTCTGTTTAGTAATATTCATTCGGAGATGACTTTCATTAACTACAATAGGATAATTCATTTATACAGCTAAATTACATTTCTCAATAGAATAGAGAAAAGCAGAATCCCTAAAGAAAGTACAACACAACAAAATTGAAAATGTTGCAGGCTCGGTTTGATTAAGCTTGTTCATGGACGGTACTTGAAAGTGCAAGTTACCGTCCACGCCCCCTAGCACCGGCTTAAGCAGAATTAATCTCAATATATATATGAAATTACAACATATGTATGATTCTATTTATCACATGCTTTTAAATAATGGCAGAAAATACCGAAAATAAACAGAAACTCGTCTTTTTTAATGTATATACTAAACGTAGCCAAAAACAAAAACAAAAACCTATGGTTATACTACAATCAACATTAACCGACGGCATGTGATAAGATATCGTATAAAATGATTTCAGAGATCAAACATTTTGTTCAGTTTCTTCCACAAGAAAGTATGTTCCTTCCAAGATTAGCACACTCTAGTCGGAATTTTTTATCACAGAATCCGTAAATCAACGGGTTTGCCATATTGTTTATCACGAATGACCGTAAAAATATGTTATAAAAGACAACCCCAATTGGCGACATGCCATTTACAAATGAAGAATCCATTGAATTAATGACCATGAGCACTAAATGTGGTATGAAACAGAGCACAAACACAACAGTTATTACAAATAACATAAACGTGACCTGCTTTGTCCGTAAGCTAGGACCACTATTTATGCAACTCCTGTTGTCATCCACTTCACCTTGTTGCCTGTTGACACGCTCTAGTTTTGGCGTAGATTCTCGTGAACAATCAAATGGAACTGGAGAATTAGCTCGAGATGTATCATTTAATGTCACAACCTTTTTCATCAAGTCTTCGTAAAGACTTTCTCTTATTTTTGGGTCATCTAGTGGCGTTCTAATCGTAGCTATTGGGCCTTTGTCTTTGCCTTTACTACCATTGTCCCTCCCCTTGTTGTAGCACTCCGGAGAACATATCGCTTTTTTATTAGCACGACCGTTTTGGATGACATACTTTTTCTTGGAGATGTGTTGTTTACCATTTTCTGTAATAGTCAATAGTGCGAACTTATTGAAGCAATATAGAGAAGGAATTGAATTGTTATCTTTATTGATATCGTAACATACTTAAAAACAGGATGTGTAAAAGCGAATTCATTTACTCAAAAGAATGGGGACTAAAAGAATGTAATAAAAAAACAAAAACAACAACAAACATATGCAATTAATTTATTCTAATTTGTCAATATTTGTCATTGACTAACATTTGTCACATAGGGCCGATATACATAGGGCCGATATTTCTTTCCTTTGGGTTGAATATACATGTACAAGGACATGTATATAAATCGTTAGATCGTACATTTACTGAGCATTAGAATGTAAGCCATATATCGATAGACATTCAAATAATTCCATCTTAAAATGAATTTTGATATAAACAAAAGGTAGAACCAGCCGATTTTAGAGAGAAAAGAATGTTTTTGAATTTTCAAAAAATATTTTTCTTTGATACATGTATATATGCCAATTCTAATTTGAAATTAATTTGAAAATGAAACTGGCAAAAACTTTATCAAATGCTACCAATTTGGCTGTTACTTAACCGTAATGAATATGATTTGTTGCATTCGTAAGTAGCATTTATAAATGTTACTCGTCTGTTATTGCTACAAAATAGGTAATAAGTAATTGAAATCAACACATACCTTTTCCTTTTATTTTTCCAGAGTGGCATTTCCTTGTGTACGTATTGTCTCTAAGAAACTTGTCATGGTACCATATTCTGGCTCCTATTCGAAAATAGAATATCCCCAAAATTATCATTGAAATTACACTCAATAACAGCTGAAAAATGAAATAGGCCTGTGGCCAATCCGACGATTCAGCGTCGGAATCAATGAAACACTCCAATCCTGTGATATTATGCACGCCAGTTTCCACGACGGCGTCGCCATAGACAAATATCGCCGGAACAGCAACAAGACAGCCTAGGACAGACGCCACCAAGCACATTATCTTTATCTTATTTGTTGTCATTTCTATAGAAAAGGGGTTACATATTCTCCTATGTCTCTCTATGGCTATAGCAATCACGATAAAAGCTGAACTGACCACGAAAAACACGTGTAGAAATCTTAATGTCTTGCACGCTTCTTCTGAGGGAAACATATACGGATAAAGCATACTGACAATTAACAATGGCATACCGACAGTACATGCTATAAGGTCTATCCATCCTAACCAAAGGATAAATCCCCTATATGTAGATATATAATACTTTGTGGTAAATATATAGAGTACCAAGATATTGCCGAACACACCAAACACCATCAGAATTGCTACAAACACTATAGCCGGAATATGTAGCTGCACAAGAGCCGTGTTTAATTCCTGAATTGTAACGTTTGAATCAAACCCATTCCTCCAGTCCTTCGGTATTGTTGTATACATTATAAATCTTCTAAATACAAGAAATGTTCAAAAATACTTTCAAACAATATGATTTCAATGAAGTCTACTAGAGACTGAATATTTTTCTGATCTAATTACATTTGTTGTGAAATATTTATAATTCCACAAATTTCCTTTAGTTCAATATGATGCATTATTTATTCCACACAAATACTAAGTAAATTAATTGTGATGTATGATTCCACGCAAATGTTCATATATTCAATAAGGTTCATTTATCTTTCCATTCAGTTTTAATATTTTTACGTTAAATTTCCAGTGACATGATCATTACTTGAAATCACTGCTTTTTAAACTTATTTCAGGCAACTTAATCTCCAAAAATGTTTGATTTTCTTTCGGGTGTACTCCCAAGATAGCGATAGTTATTCTAACATTCTAAACAAAGTGGAATCCTTCTGTTTAAACTAACTCCATAAACATATCATGTTGATCAATACAGAAATGTTTTCCTCTTATTATAATTTGAAGATGTTTCTGAAATTTTGGAACGAATATACCTGCAATTTCAGAATGCTAGAACTTTAAAACTGAAACTTGTATTATAAATCTTTCATCTTGAGCTTAATATAAAAATAAGCCTTAAAGATTTTATACACTCCCTGACCAAACTCGGAAGATTTTCACGATAATTATTCGTTATCAGTATGTAATCAATGTAAAACATGAAGATGAAAACTTGTTTTAACTTTATACCAGAGTCGTTATCACTTAATGTTTTGTTATGCACAAACGTCTTTAACAAATCATCCAAATCTTTTGCAATATCAAACCCTTGTTTTGTTAATAATAACCATCCATTATAGTATATTTACACACCAAATTTATTCGTACATACTCCGATTTTTAGGTTCGAACAACATCCTGATTTCCCGGAAGTTCCGTCATACAAACGCGTCAAATGTTTCTATAACTTCGGACGGTCAATCACCATTTTCCTCCAACGACTTCCACTAACACTTATACAAATTTCATTTGTTTAATTTCAGATTAACCTCTGCTTGAATCATCAGCGTATGTTTATATAATTAATCAGTTGAATGATTCTAATGTAAGTGTTCGTTTACACTTTTTCTCTCGTTTTAATCTAGATATACACAGAGCTTTATGTCAAAAGATCCAGTTTGTTATACGTTCAAAAACATATGTTTAAACAAAAAGTATGTCTAGAATTTATTCTTTTTGTAGTTCGTCAATTTTTTTTTCAGGCATATAATTCCTTTAAAGGCTACTTTGCTGTAACAATAAATAAAAAGAAAGCTTTTTGTTTATATAACACTCATATCTAGATATTGCTCGTCTAACAATCTGTCGATGTTTGGATATGTCATTACCTTACAAGTCATTTTACAGCAATAAATCCACGAGAAAGTAGTTCCGTTTTAAACACAATAGAACAATTTTCCTTCATTAATAAGTTGTCATGAACATACATCGAAGCCTCTTGCAATCGACAGTCATTCTACATTATTTCTGGATACCAAAAAAAGCCCCCCATCAACCAATCACGTGTTGATTAGACATGTGTTAAATCCAATAAACTTATATAAAGAATTTTGTATTATAAGAAAATGCATTGACTGATGCCTAATTTTCCGGTGACATCATGTCTAGTGAGGGAATGAAAAGAAACAAACATGAAAATTACATTAAGGCCATTCCGCACTCATTAGTGTATACGGAGATACCTACATATGATGAAATAATTGAAATCGTGTTTACACTGTTAGAGTGAGTAAACCTATCTAAACAGATGATCATAAACTCATCATGATCAGTATATTAATTTATCTTTTGTATCTATATCAAATTGATACAGATCGTTCAAAGTGCCCTGACATGTATATAATTTGTGATGAATAGTAGCCTAGCAAAGCATTGTTTGGAGAAGAAATTTAATTTAATCTAATTTAATCTAATTTATTCAGTTCGAAAATTCGATTAGTTTTTATTCAGTTGTAGATATATTTTAACGAAACATATGTATAGAAATACAAATATGACCACATAAAATTGTATGGATAATTGTTTTCAGTGCATGATTTTCTTTGACGATTGAAACAAAGTTTTATTTGTTTGAGACTTAAACTATGTTTAGCAGAATATAAACAATGGTTGTTATTCATTTATTTATTTATTTATTTATTTATTTATTTATTTATTTATTTATTCATCTTCATGTGCCCAGCAGATTTGCATTTTTGTTTTAGGTCAATGAACCCTTCTTCAAAACGTGAGCTCACACAACATAGTGCCCATCCACGAGTTCATTGACCTAAAACAAAAATTTGCACATGACGATAAATTCCTTCAAATATATATCTGTGATTTTAGATTATGTTATACAAGATGAAGCTTCATTATGAGAGAGTCTTATCAAGAAATTTTCATAAAGTTACGTCTTGCAAGATTTGTTTTGAAAATTAACACGGTTTTCACAATATGACAAAAGCTATGCAACACATTCTTAACGCATGTGGTATTTGTTTGAATTATGTAATGAAGGTAGACATTAGCTTAAAAAAATCAAATACTGCTTAATTAAAAATTTTATGTTGCTTAATGTATCATATGCTCCATTTTAAGCTTATTTAAGCATTCCTTTAATAGGGGTATCATTTTCATGAATTTGGAAGATTTAAGTTGGTAAGAATAAATTCCTCCTAAGCAATAAAAACAAAAGCAAATTGTTAAAAAATCGCAGTCTTTTTTCTATTGAGTCTGTTCATGAGATATTATAGAAGTGCAACATCTCTCATGCCCTAATTAAAGCGGTATTCAATCATCAACACCAATCAATTATACCAAAATATAACAATATAAGAGTTAGTCCCTAAATATTCCGAATATGGTTTTAATATAAAATCTTGAAAGGGGAAATCCCTTGAAAATAATGAAAACAACATAATTACATGAAAATTGCAGATTTGGTTTGACTGAGTCAAATTACAGGTGTAATGGAAATGTGCAACATCTGCCACACTCGCTGGCGCCGGCTTAGGCTGTGGTCTGATTGCATGCGTGATTTTATTTTGAGGCACTGTACGAGTTGCAAATACTTTTCAATTTCACTTATTAATAGTTTAAGAGGAGCGGACAATGAAACTTACATTTATGTTTTTTTTTTCGAATTTACAAGTCAACAAATGGCCTTGTTGCGGAAATTGAGAAACGCCAGTAATTAAACTGTCAAATTTTATAAAGTTGAAAAAAGCCCTTCAAATGAAGATGCTGACGTGAAGTGGAAATAAAAAAAAACAATTATGCCATTTTTTACTTCACAATAAAAAAGAACAATAAGAAAACGTTTTTATTAAAATTCAGACATAAACAAATAGTATGACAATTTGTGTTTTGTTTAATTTACAGTTTTAATTACAAATACGGCGCGTGTACATAGCAAAAAACATACACAATTCTTTTGTTTGTTGCGTGTCCATAAACACCAAGCTTTTAACGTGAACATGACCTTTGAACAATCCAAAGTAATTTTATGATATCGTTTCAACAGAAGATCTAAAAGCCCTAAAAGAACGTACAATAAAACTACTCTTCAACAACAATTACATAGCTGAAGAACTTAAGAAAAAATCTAAGAGAACGTACAATTAAACTCTTCAACAGTAATTACAAAGTTTTTAAGGTTTGTGTACGTTTGTTTTTGCATTGATTTGACTTTTGGACAGTCCAATCGCAGTTTGAATGACTTCGCTACCGAAAAACGAAAGTCGATACCTGGAAGAGTATGGGGCCTGAACAGACTGCACGCACGTATAGACAGGAATGGTGGTAGAGGAAAAAACTTTCATCACCTAAAAATTGCATTCAAAGAGTTTAAGGCTTTCAAATTAATCATACTGTACCTCTAATTCCGGAAGACACTTGGAGACAAAAGTTTCATTTCTTCATTTGTGAAATCGAATGTTTTAGATTATTTACAACGGAAGATGGATGTTGTTCCTCACAGTTTTTGTAAAAGTAACTTCCGTTTGCCAGTTTAGGTCGTAGCAAAGACATATTTTGTTATAAGGGTTTGCTTCAACTTTCATTTTTGTCAGCAGAAATTAGTCAACTTTCATTTTTGTCAGCAGAAATAAGTCATAAGTCCCGATGATTCAAAGTTTGTACATAAAGTAAAAATATATCCCATGTAAAAAAAGATCATGCTATTAGTTATTTTATTTATTATATGAGGTTACATTAGTTTAGGATATCTTAATTAATATTTTTATAAGCTATCGTTTTTATGGGTTTTTTTTTTGTAGCAGATTTACAAAAAAATTCAAAATAATCTAAATAATTTGTATTTACTGGAGAGGAAATGGAATTCGCATTTTAACTAATACACTTGTATCAGTTTTCTAATAAGTCTTGTTTTGTTTAAAAAATTAATTACTTTCTTATTTATGATGGCAAAAGCTTGGAAGTACGTTGGTGAAAAGTCGAAATAACAAAACAACGAAACCACGACGATGAAATTTCAGATGTACGATGGTGAAAACCTGAATTTATATATTTCGTTATTTCAACTTTTCATCATCGTATTTTCGACTTTTCATAATTGTATCTTCGACTTTTCTCCCTCGTATTTTCGTTGTTTCGAGTAATGTGTGTGTTGTGATGGCCTTGAAGGTACACCGTACAAGACACAGACATTTTGGTACACAATTGCTTTTGTTTTATTCTTCTTTCTTTTTAATTTAAAAATATTGTATGAAAGATGTAAGCAATGTAAAAATGACTTTGCAACTGAATAATTCAAATTAATGGAATTCAATTTTCAAGAATCTTTTTACACGTCGGAGTATTAAACAGAAATTCTAACAAGAAGTTCTGTTTTATGTTTAATTGTTGTTTACAAAACCCTAAATCAGTTGTAAGCGTTTTCTCACAATTTTACAGAAAGAGCAGAGTTGTGCTAGTTTTAGACTCTGCTTAATCCAGGAGCAAAATGTGTGACGTAATCGCACCTTTAAAGAGCAATTGTTTAAAACAGTGGAAGTTATTCGTATACCTGTTTGCAAGATAGCATCTACATTCATTTATCATTGTTTACAACTATTGAAAGATCTGTGTTCTGGTTACAGGTTTACTGTGCATTGAAATTACAGGTGAGAGTTTATCTAAGCCTGTTTGTTCAATAAAACATGCTCTTCTAATAAATCAGTTACATTGAAACTGTGTGTTATAATGAATTGCATATTATAGAATAAATGCATCAATTAAGTAAGATCATAAGATGATATAGTTTTATTAATATTTTATCAACAGTCAGATGGTAACAATGGAATCTTTGTTATAAAAGTTTTGGGAAAGTCAGAACCCAGATACTTCAAAAGAAGCCGCTCCTATAACAATGGACGTACGAACGCCTAGAGATGACCTCAAACCTTTTGCAAAAACTTATCCACATGGCCGTGATTTGAGCAAAAACTTAGCTATATGACTGTAATTTCAAAATACACTTTCAAAGTTTGTTACATTGTGTTAATTAATTTATACGTTAAAAAACTAATCAAAGCGCTGTAACTCTTATTAAAACTCAACAAATCTATTCATGGTTTATTAAATTCAACTTTGTTTTCATATTCACATAACACTACATCAAAAATCATTTTACATAAAACAATTTCTTAATTTGAAACACAAGTGACTAATTAAACATCTTGGGTTGCTTGAAATTTAACATGAAAATGATGCGTATAAAGCGGACCTATATCAAGTGGTGGTGGTGTTGGTAGTTTTCAAACCCTGGCACCAGATGATTCAGTATTGCCTGGTATTTTTATAGAAACTAGTTTTAATAATCGTAAATCATTTGCATTGCGCCTCCAGATGTGAAAACAAAGTTTAAAAGTTCAGGTAAATATGTTAAGAGTTTTAAAATTTTAGAAATAGGCACAATCTATATAACACTTTAATTATTTTAAGTTGGATAAGACTGAAGTTACGTTTTAAACTTTAAATCAACGTATTTATACCAAATAACATGTACTCGAGTATTGGGTGTTTTTGCAAAAAATGAAAATATTTATTTGATTTAAGAATTTCTTAAGATAGTTGATTTTTTTTATTTATCTGACTTAAAAATATTTTGCTTTTAAAGCCCTTTTTCAAAACAAAAAATATTACTTTTTAGACCAAGCTGCTTTAAATATTTACAACAAATTTTTGAGACGGAAGCTTTTTTCTTCAAAATGTACCAAAAGGCTTCTGAGCCGTAAATTACATGAAACAAAAACAAATAAAAAAACTTATAACGAGCACAAAATACATAATAAATGACACAACTTAACATATATTTTATTTTTTGTAAACATGAAATGACAACGATTTGACGCTTGATATCCGGAAAATATGAAGAAAGAATTTTGCAAACAAGTTTTTTTCAGACAGCCGAAATATTTGAATAGTTGAATAATAGTTGAATCAAGGGTTTTAGAAATTTGGCTGAATATTGTATACTACTTGCGTTAACGGAAACCATTGACTCGGTTTGGCATAGATCTGGCATTGAATGCAATGTTTTTGCATTGAATTGCCTTATGCAATGTTCTTGCATTGCTCATCGATAATAAGTCCTTGCATTTGATTGTCTATAATATTTTCCTGCATCGAATTTTCTTTTAACTGGTCTTAGTTTTAAATTGCCTTATTCTGTGTTCTCTTGCATTTAATTCCCGTTCGCCTTTTCTTGTAATGAAAAAAAGTTGTGTCGTGCAATGTTCTTGCATTTGATATGTTTTATGAATACTGGACCAAAACATCAATTTAAGTCCAATGTTATCTATTTAATCTTAGTTTATACTTTTATTATCATCCCGAAAGAAACTAGAATATTGCAAAATCATTGTAGTAAAACATATCCATAAAAATGTATGTTCTTTACAAATGATTATGATTTAACAGATACAACAATATATCAATTGCAAATGATTCATATGAAATAAGTTTATTGCAATTGATTTCCGATATTTCTTTCATTACATTTGAGCCGTGTCATGACAAACCCAACATTATGGGTTTGCGACCAGCATGGATCCAGACCAGCCTGCGCATCCGCGCAGTCTGATCAGGATCCATGCTGTTCGCTTACCAACCCTATTAAAAGTAGAGAAACTGATAGCGAACAGCATGGATCCTGATCAGACTGCGCGGATGCGCAGGCTGGTCTGGATCCATGCTGGTCGCAAACACACTATGTTGGTTTTGTCGTGACGCGGCTCATTTGTATCTGTTTAAAAGCATTCATAACTATAGTATCTGGCAATAGAGCTTTCATTTAAAGGTGTTTTGGATAAAGATATATTTATATACTATTAATTCTGTCTTAGTGTGCTCATTTAAACGGAAATCGGTTAAATATATGTTCATCACAAACGATTCCGTAAAGGCATTTTCATTATGATCGATTCCAATATAAAAACATGAAGTAACTTAAGAATACAAAGATTCCGGTGGTATAAGGTAATTTCAACAAATTCCAATAGAAATGAAAAATTTATACAAATAATTTTCGGAATATTTTATCTGTAACCCATAACAAATTGTCAAAAAATACAAAACTTGCCTCCATTCGTGCTAATTTTCATGAAAATTTCGAAAATGTATTTAGAAGTAAACTATGGTGTAGTGAACAAAGAAAGTAATTTACACATTGCAAACGGCACTTACAACCAACGTGAATTTCTAAATATAGTTCAAAATATACAAAAATAACCCTTACTGCGTTAGCCACGCAATAGAAATATCGTCATACTCTAGTATATGTAGCAAAATCTTTTTTTTTACTTTTTAAAAAATCTTATTTCATTTTTTCTCAAGCTTGATTTTCTTGAAATATTTTGGCTCATCTGGAGGCATGCGGCTTTAACAATTATATATTTATTATCGCTTTTATCGAGTAATAACATTATAAACACCATTATGAACCCTATTTAATATAACAGAGCCACACTGGTAATCAAGAGGCTACTGTTTACACCTAAAACATGAAACCTTGGCAAAGCAACAAAAATATCAAATAATTATGAAATGAGGAATTTGTTGACCTGGTCATAAATGTTGCCCTTCGCTCGAGAAAAACCTGTTACGTTGTAATAAATGATGATTTGATTATGGACAAGGAAATTGCACACATGCCTTTTATAAAATGTTTTATTGAATACTGCATCTGGAATAAAAGAAATCAATGTAAATATTTATTCATCAAAAATCATTCAGTCATTAAGTAAACAAATTTGTTAATTTATGCGTGAAAAGACTAAAAGAAAATCTGAGCAAAATATAATAGAAGTTATATTTTAAAAAAGTGGACTATTTTTCATAAAACATCGCCAAATGGGAATACTACTGAAAACAAACTGGAAACAAACCAAAATCAAATATGCAGTTTTATTGCTCGTTTTAAAGATTAAAGAACATTAATTAATATGTTGTGAAAAAAAATCTGTTAATAGAGCGTCGATTGTAATTTGGCACGAGTTAACAGTAACTTGTAAAAAAACTGGAAGAAATTTTCATAATAACTGCATTATATGCAAACAGAAAGATAAAAGTATTCAATAAAAACTCTAAAAAGAGAATTCAGGAAAGAACCGACAAAAGCTGTGTTTAAATCGTGCAACTCAGTAAAATACAGTTATCAAATTTGTACAAATATACATGATGCATTTTTTTCTTTAGTTAGTGTTCAAGAACATATTAATTTATAATAACACCACAAAAAGAAAGTTATAATTCTATCTGAAGTAAATAATTAAGGTTTTTCTAAATTTTATATTTTACGCATAGTTGGTTGTTTTAATGTTTTCATTAAGCATACAGAACTTTAGTAACATTTCTTTTGTAAATTTGGCCTCCTCAAGGTTATAACACTTTTGTCTGACTCTGATTCAAATCTCAAGATATTCATTGGTCAATATACATTCTTTGCTGTTTTCTGACCAGTCAAATATCTGAAATTTGATTTTGCACTTTTTGAACATTCTATATGAGCTTGGAGTTAGGAGTAATACAATTAGTACAATGCAGTAATATTGAGTAGTAAACCTGATAGTGGAGCATATTAGTATTTTTCACAGTGTTTCCTTCATCAACGACAACAACAAGAGCAATAATGTTTATACTTTGGCAAATTAGATATCACAATTATGACTAGATAAATTATGCAGAGACATCATTTGACACGACACCACAAAGAAAGTTTGCTTCAAACAAAATGTTGTTTTTATATCAGCGCCTTCCACAAGTCATTATTCTCCATCCTAGGTCCGCACATTCTGACCGGAACTTCTTATCACAAAATCCGTAAATAATAGGGTTAGCCATATTGTTTATAACAAATGAGCGTAGGAATACATTGTAAATAGCTATCTCTGCTGGGGACATGTCTTTAACAAAGAAAGGGTTCATGGAGTTTATGACCATAAGCACTAAGTGTGGCACAAAAGATAAAATAAACACTACCGTTATTATAAATAGCATGAATGTGACTTGTTTGGTACGTAAACTTGGTCCAGTTTTCACACTTTTTTCACTTTTGTTCGATTCGAGCCGATTTCTCTGTCTACTCAGACGCTCTGACTTTGGCGTCGATTCCCTGGAATCTCGCGAGACTGGTGAATTTGAACGTGATTTCTCCTTTGCAGACACAACCTTTTTCATCAACTCGCCATACGGATCTTTTTTAATTTCTAAATTGTCCATAGTTAGGGTCGATCCATTCGTGTTTTTGTTGCAATACTCGGGCGATTCTAGCGCCACCTTGTGATCTTTTTCGACCAAAACTCCATTTTTATCCTTGACCTTCTTTACCTTAGCTGTAAATGTACAATAGCATAATTTTAACTAACTTTCCGACAAAAAGGGAAATTACTTGTCATTTACTTCTCTTCTGATTATACAACTGAAGTGAAAGATGTTTGAACACGAATGAAATGTAACAACCCGAAATAACATTTGTTTCTGATATTTCGAGCGTGTTTGAATAAATCGGTAGCTCTTAATTTAAATATTGGCTTAATCACTATGATTTATCCCTTTTCCAAAAAGCCGAAATTTTGTGTCTTTTTATTATTATGGTTATTACTATAACAGTGTTACAGATTTTCGCAAGTTTCTAGCATAATACATGTATCATTTAACGGGTTACATAGTCAAAAGAAGACGCGCAAATGATGAGTGTTAGCGGAATGATGAACCCCTCTGTCAAAAGAGGAGCGGTGACCTAGTGGCTAAGGTATCTGCCTCTCCCAGAGATTATGGGTTCGAGTCCTACACGGGTTACTACCATGTTTCTTCATATGACACCAGTACTGGTTGGTTCCAGGAAGCGGACTCGAAGTGATTAATATAAGTTGCAAAAACTTGTTTTGCAATCGAGCTTAAAGACATATGTTTAAACCAAACCTCTGTCAACGGGCTTCAACCCAGCGGATGAAAACACTGTAGATTTTTAAAATTTAAGTTAACCATGCACTGTGTACATGGAAATATCATAAATTCGAAAAATTGATAGCTTTTTATGAGTAAAAATGTTTTCATTTTGATAATTTTTCCTTTTAGAAATATGGGATGGATTCTTGTGAAATATTTCTTACCTTTATTTTCTTCAGATGACCCTTTGCTATTATACGTGTTTTCTCTGATGAATTTATGGTGTATGCAGATCTTATTGCCAATACGAAAGTAGAAAATCCCCATAATTATCATCGAAACGACACTCCGTAATAGTTGAAAAATAAAATATCCTTTCGGTAAATCAGAATTTTTATAGTCCGGGTCAATAAAACACTCTGTTCCTGTGATATTGTTCACACCGGTTTCCACGACGGCGTCGCCGTAAACAAATATCGCCGGCACAGCGACGACGCAGCCCAAGATAGAAGCCACCAGGCACATCAGTTTGATTTTCTTCGGAGTCATTTCTCTGGAGAATGAATTACATATTCGACGATGTCTTTCTATTGCTATAGCCATCACGATGAAAGCTGAACTGACCACAAAAAATACGTGCAGAAAACGGAAGCACTTGCACGCTGCTTCCGAGGGAAACATATACGGATAAAGCATACTAACAATTAACAAAGGCATACCGACGGTACAAGCTATAAGGTCTATCCATCCTAACCACAGAATAAAACTTCTATAAGTTGACGGATGATATTTGGTGGTGTATATGTACAGAACTAGTATATTACCAAACACCCCGACCACCATCAGTATCGCTATGAACACAATAGTTGGTATATGTAAATCCACAAGAACGTCGTTCAGGTCCTCAATTGTCACGTTTGGTCCAAAATCATTCCGCCAATCCTTTGGTATCGTAGTATACATGATTTAAACAAAATGTTATCAAACGCAAATAATCTTATATATTTTCACAGGTACACAAGAACTATATCAATATTAAACTGTGTCTTATATTTTTCATTAACCTTTATTTTTTCTCAAATTCTTAATAGAAAATTAATTTTAAACGAGTTCGGCTCACAAATTAAACCAAAATAAAATATAATGAAATCTATTCAAAGTCTGAATTAGTAAAGCAGTATCTGTGTATTTATTCACTTTCATAAAAAGCGCCACCTGTATCAATTTTAGTAGCGTTTCCGGATTTATTCCGTCCGTCTGGAAGCAGTATTGGCGCGGAGAGTTTATGTGTATGAATTATATATATTTACAAATAACATTAATCATACAGCATACTTCAAGTAAATACTACTGGGTAATTTTATACACACTTCAACAATCCGAGTTACCAAGAACTCAAGTAAGCTCCGCTGTGAAGCTATTCGTACTTTTCTTTCAGTTCGCTTAAAAGCGCGTGTTTCGTCTTTCTATTGGCTGAACTTTAGCATAGGCGTTACATGTTAGGACATTATTAAATCTGATTTCAGTAGTAAATAAATCTAGATACACAAAAATATGATTACGTAAAAGCACATCACGTAAGATCTTTTTTCATCGACTCTCAATGACAAATTATATTAATGTGGTCTTAAAATAGAAGAAAGATTTCTTGCCTAACTTCCAGTATGTTAGCTAATTTTAGAAATTCACATCATATTTCGAAAATGTAGATGATTAGTCCCGTCACACTTGTCAGATATTTACATCTTTTTCTCGTTTACATGTCGATCAGATGTTTTTTCACTTACCACTAGCATTAATGTCTTACTTTTGTTTCATCCAAGGAGAAAATTTGTATATAATCTATCACGCACAAAATCTTTGTATCTGTTTCGAATTGATGTTATGTTGGCTCCGTAAAATATTTTCCATATATCTCTTGCCTAATTCTGTCGGAATGCCAGTTTTTATAAATAAATGATCCACAATTGCATGATCAGCTCTTTGTTATATGTAATACTTTAATTAAAACGCTTTCATATAAATGCTGTTACTTACGTACTTGCTTCATACATCAAACACGGTGCAAATGTCAGTTTTTTGTGCGTATATTCAGCCTGAATATGACATGCTTGAATATTTGTAAATGAAAACTCGACACAATTAACACTACTTTGCAATTGACACGTTTTCCAAAACACAAACACGTGTTCTTGTCGCACTACGTGGTATGTCACGTGTAAATGACACCTACGTCAAGGACACTAACTCTCCTGACATCCTTGTTGCTTTTAATCCATAGTTTATTCACCGTCTCTCTGTTGTACACTGAAATAACAGGGGGAAAAACAACGCAAATTAAAATATGATATACTGTATTTTAAATCTTTAAATTTAAAGAAAAGTCAATAAAATATAAATTTAAAAATACCGTACTTCCCTATTTTAAAAGTGAGTGTTTTATGCAAAAGTAATTTTGTTTGCTACATATATTTGAGATTGCACTCTATACATTGTGCAAAGTCCACCAATTTCACCGTCGATAACGAGTTATCTTTAACATCTTGAAATAGCAGTATTGTGACAAGTATGTGCGCGCTAAAATAGAGACAGTAATTAAGATTTTAACGCGTTTATACTTCCGCAGTTACTAGAGGGCAATTAAAACAATTATTACTGAACAATTAACAACTGGTGAAGGTCACGTGATCTCGCTCGTCTGGTGGCAAAAACATAATAATAAAAATAAAAACAAAGAATAAAAAAAAAATATATTAAAAAAATGGAAAAAAATATACGTATATTAATTAAAATGACATTTTATACATTAAATTATAATAACAATGGTGATGATGATAGGGACGATGATGAATATGATGATAATGATGAGGAAAATAATGAAGTTGATAACGATAATGTTAACGATTATTATAATGTTGATGATGATAAAAGAAGATGAAGAAGTTGATGATCATTATAATGATGATGATGCTTATGATGATGGTGTTAGTAGTGATGATGATGACGATGAAGATGATGAAGATGATGACGAGGACGATGATTTCACACATAACACATAAGTACTTGCTTGAAAACAATTTGTTTTTAATACTAACCGAAACAAAGATTTTTTGAAAAATAATTTCAAAATCAAAACTTATAAACATCCCAAGAATTCTTAGAAAAAAAAAGGAAAACAAATATAATGACTAAGGGGATTCACATTGGCATCACGTTTGTTCGTGATATCCGGGACAGACGTAGATAAAATAAAATATATTCGGATTAGTCGATAGTAAGGTCGAAAGATTACAGTATGAAATTCTCATTAACTTGAATAGAGAAAAATGAATTTTCATCGATAACGATAATATCCGAGAAGATCCGGTAAATGCTATCTGTAATCCGGAACACTTAAGAAAAGTATGACGTCACTATCAAAATAATAGATAAATTAATATCTACTATATGATATAATTAAAATGTCTTCTTACTTTGTTACTTTTTATTAATCCAACAGTTAAAGTCTCATTAAGTTTGAAAAATGCTACTATTTTTTTATTTTCTAAAAGTTTATTATTTCGTGATGTCCTATTAGTGTTTAAAACGTTACACATTTGCCGTCTTTTGTTTTTTTTTACGTTTTGGCGGTAAGTAAAGTTATATTGATTTAGTATAGTGTATGGAAATCAAAATACCACTTTAGATTGAATAAAATAAATGAAAAAAAACCATATACAAAAACAAACGTGCAATATTTCATTATGGTCATGTAAGGTTTTACAATTTGATATATTTGTGTTTCAATAAAAGATTTACTTAATGAACAGCTATCCTATAAAACTCTTAAATAAAACACTTAAGAAAAAATGTCATAATTAATTTTCAAACCAACAGAACTGTTATTAGCAGAATGTCAAGATAAAATGTTATGAAAATTTAGAATTTGTACATGTATAAGATATTGTAAAATCTACAAATAATTAAGCCAGAATTCCAAGTCAATTACCAAATATTACATATATGTAATAATTGCATTATCTTTGAAATATTTATTTTCTAAAACTTTGTATGTGTCACTGTATACGTATAAACAAGTCTTCTTCCTGTTATACAAGTTAAAAAGTAATTCGGAGGTAACATGTGCGTTTACTAGCAAGACAGGGTACACATTGAATAGATAGATCCTTACTCTGACCTTTCATTTGAATAATAATACATTGGCATGCGCTCTTTTATTAACAAATAGGTTGTGGTGAAATTCTTATAGTATCCACTTATCTGATTACCATAATTAGAATTGGACAGAATTGGGATCTATGTATTATATAGGCACAGTGACTTTGTTTATATACTGTGTGTGTGCAGTTTTTAATGTTGTTAAAATCCAAAATTGTAAATTAAAAACGAAAACTCGTTCGATAAAAGTAATAAGCGATGTAATTAACATAATGACAAGTCTGTTGTACAATTTAGAAATAATAAAATGAGCCGCGTCATGACAAAACCAACATAATGGGTTTGCGACCAGCATGGATCCAGACCAGCCTGCGCATCCGCGCAGTCTGATCAGGATCCATGCTGTTGGCTTACCAACCCTATAACAAGTAGAGAAACTGATAGCGAACAGCATGGATTCTGATCAGACTGCGCGGATGCGCAGGCTGGTCTGGATCCATGCTGGTCGCAAACCCATTATGTTGGTTTTGTCGTGATGCGGCTCAAATGTGTTGAGTTATAAATATGGAACACTAAGTACCGGATGAAGTTTTATAGAAAAGCTTGTAATATAAGTGACGTAACTATATTCTACAAACTATATAACTAAAATGCGAATATGACCTATATTCGCGAATATAACATCATATACCCAATCAGCGGTTTACATAATTAGTTCTTCAACATTTTTTTTTCAAGAATGAATTATTGGATAGACTCGCTGGTTCCATCATCATTACGGCTGATTATCAGAATTTTTGAGTGGCGTAATAGGAATAAGTGGAGAACCAGACATATTGATAATACCTATATCATTGAAGATTAGAAATGCTGCAATTTGCTGAAAAACTTATCACAAATTCTAGACTGAGTAGTGGGAGTCGCTAGTAACCCGGGAGTCATTTCTGATATTTTTAACCCACACAGCGTGGTGTAAAGATATTTTTTGCAGGATAGGTGTTTTTCAACAATTGTGATACATACGTTACCAAACTAGAATGTTATGAACTTCAGCAGGATTTGCATGGATTGAACAACTAACCTTCCGTTAGCTTACCTTACTTGTGAAAATACAAAGTCAATCCTATAGAGGTGAACAGCAAGTGACACAACTCTATACACGTGGCCACGGAGGCCCCTTGGGTATAATAAACTTGTTAAAACATTCAAAAGTAACTTTTTCTGAAACTCGATTTCCATACAAACGCTGACAACTGTATTCCGCTAATTTCCATCTCGTGAACACAGTTATCACAGAATAATTAAGAAATTAAACAAAGAGAGTATTTATGTCTGCTTTTTCCTATGTTTCTATCCTATTTTTAGATAATGTAAACAGTAAACTATTCTTTTTGTTAACGGATAGTCTACAGTCTGGTTAAAATCTACCCGGCATTTAGTCAGGTGTCTTGGCTAAAGTTTATAAGATGCGTACCCGTGACTATTCAATCTTAGCAGTTATGTTAAAATGTGTCGAGTTAGAGACCAAATCAAAAGTCTTAAATCATGTGTCATGTAAAAACTTCCGTCAGACATCAAGTAAGGAATGTTACACCTGGAATTTACTTTAAGCGTCAAATCTGGAATATTCCGTCAGCGCCATGTCTTGAATCTCCCGTTCGGCATCATGTCTGGAATGTTCCGTCAGACGTCAAATTTTTACTATCTTGTCAGGCGTCAAAGCGTCAAGCCAAGACTCTGCCGAAAATCTTTAAGTCGGGAATCTCTCGCCAGTCGTCCAGTCAGGACTATTGGCAAATTAGATTTTGAAGATAGACAGTTTCAAAATAAATGTTTACAGCTTGAGCACCACTTGAATTACAAGTGCGGTTATATTTCGAAAGCACTTAGTTAATGTAGATCTAGCACTTCAAACGAGTTTCATTCATCGGTTTAACTTTATTTGTATATTGTATTCCATGTACATATATAAATCAAATCATCTAGATTAATAGTCAAGTACGCGGCATGACCGAGTGGTTAACACATGATGCTAGTAATCTAAAGAATGCTATTCGCGTGGGTTCAAACCCAGTCAGGGACATGTTTCCTTTACACTCATTGCTCAGTACTGGTTGATTACAGGAACGTCTACAAGCTACAAGCTTGATTACAATCGAACTAAAGTTCTGTATAAACCAAAGCAGCTTGTCTCGAGAATTTCGAAATGTAGAAATTGCTCTTATGAGTAAGAAGATATATTTTGCCTTAGTCTGAATCTTTGAAGATTATTTTACTCAAACGTGCCGCTTGAAATGTTCTTAGTTAAATACTATGAACGCTTACTGAGAGGTAGCTATATTACTGTTCATCGGGATAGTGACAAATATATTATTACCAGGTTACGTATTTAAATGTGTGAAATATATTAGTATGACTAAAGGAACGATGGTCATAAGTAAAATAAATAGAACATTTAGAAGGTTCCATCAAACATCTAACAGTGTTTCTATTTAGCCTTTGCTGCTTACCTTGCTAAAATTACTTCATGGCAAGTTTATCATGCTCCCCCACACACACTACAATATCTTTTGATGAAAAATAACCCCCACTGCATTGACCTGGGGTGTGAGTACATTTACAGTATAATGATAGTAGTTCATACATTAATAAGAAAGTAATTAAGAAATATACGATCAATTGCCCTTCCTTAGAACGATGTTAAAGTAGACATAATAAAGGTAAACTACGACCCTCCTGGTGTTTTATAGTTCTTTATATTAACTATGGTTCCTAGTTTTCACATAAATGTCACGTTTAATAATAAATCTTTATATTGTTATTTATCACATACTTAAATTGTCGGGCCTCTTTTATTCTGAAAGTAGAGTGGGAATCACCTTCTCAGAAGTATTACTAATTATATATAATAATTGTACTTGTACTGACTAAACGAACGCACGAAAGAACGAACAAACAACGAATAAACAAAAATAAATAAGAAATACATAAAGAAATCACTTACAAATATAGAATAGAATATCATAGAATAGAAGCATATAGATATTATTAAGAAGAGATAATATGATCATGATTTGTTTAATTTTTCTGGGATGAAACGAACGCGTGCGTATCCCAGCGCTCCAAACTGAATAAAAATGTTTCGGGTT